CTATAGATGGTCCATGACTGTCTATGAAGAAGTGATACATTCTTGCGCCTTTCTGCAAGATAACTCTTGTTGAGGCTGATTTTTAAATGGATTAAGTAAGACAAACATTCCTAAAGAAATGAGTTTATAGAAATGCACTTTCTGTTCACAAAGAGTAAGTTTCCTGACTGGAAGAATATATCTTCTAGTCTTAAATAAGCATACAACAGTGGAAAAATGTGCCCTCAAAGCCTGTTTGTCTCCTCTGGGTCTAGTTTTCTGCTTTAGTAGAAGAGCTATGTATCTGAGTCACTGTCAAGTGATTAAAAATGCCCTAAAATCTCTCACATCCTGTAAACTGAGGGAAGACTAATTGATAAGGAAACAAGAGAAAAAACTTGCCTCATGTAGAAGTCAAGCTCGTTCCAGTGGAATAATTTGCATGGTAAACTCTCTGTGCATGAACTGCAAAGTCTGAGATTTGTAGGTATACAGAGATTTTTTTATTTTATTTTTTTAAATTTTTTAATTCAGATTTCAACAATGACTCTTAATCTAGAAAACAGAGGGGAGATGAAACTAGCACTCCAGTATGTCCCACACCCCATTGGAGGTAAGTGTTGCTGCTTTGCTTGGGTTTGTCAGGCCTTTGGGGGTTTTGTTCTTTTTCCTTTTTTTTTTTTAGTTAAAAAAATCTGTTTAATGTTTTTCAATCACTTCAAACATCTTTTTTTAACAAAAAGTAGATTTTCTTTTTTATTCCTAGAGGATTGAGTCACTCTGCTTGTGAATTCAGTTAAGGATCCCAAAGATCACTTTGGGATCTCTTGCTATTTTTAAGGTTACTGTGGAAGAAATTAGCTCATTTTTATAACCTAAGAGTTGTAGTGCAATGTATGTGTAATAAAATTCTGTTTTCTCAATAATTTTAGAGATTATAAATCATCAGTCAGGGCTATGATGTGCTAAATAAACAATGACAACATATTGAATCAAAGCAATACTAGAGGTAGGAAATAGAAGTAAGTATTTAGAATGCAAAAATTTATAGCAGTATGATCTGTTTGGTTTAATCTTGTCTGACAGCTGACAATGGACAAATCTGAGACCCAGGTCTTTAATCCAGACAGTCAGCCAGTCAATAATAATCAAATATATTTAGAACACAAAGGAGCTTTTTTGAAAGCATGAGCAGCAATAAATGCTAACATCACATAGCATGAAGACAAGCTGATCTCCTTATCTAGGAGGCTTGGAAAGAGAAGACTAGTAGCTTGTTGTAATAAAAGAAAATTTTTTGTAGGAATGCAGACATGATGTGATCTTTTACTACTTTGATGGAATGAAGATTTCAGCTTCCAGAGTACAGAGAGCAATGTTGAATTAAGATGTGAGATAAGTCTAGGCTGAATATCACCTCTACAAATGGGCAGGAACTGCTGCATCATAGAAATTACCTTTAAAAGTGATCTGCTTAAGCAGATGTTTTGTTTTATTTTTACAGGAAAGAAGACTCTATCTACTGGTGAGGTCCACATCTGGGTGAAGGAATGCCATAACCTTCCTCTTCTGAGAGGAAACAGGCTCAACTCTTTTATTAAGTGGTAAGAATTGTTGAAGGTATCAAACATGGTGGACTAATAATGCTACAGTTGCGTTTTCTAATTGTATCTTCATTTTTCTACATTCATATTAAAAAATCCCCACTGAATTGTTTTCTGATTCTCCTTTACTGTCACGCAAATTCTCCTGCAGGGCTTGCAACTTCAAGATGGTAAGTATATACCACCAAGTTACTGGGAGAATGTCCTGTGTAACTTTAGTTCTGTCTCTGTTACTTGGTGGAAGGACAGGTCAAACTCCGCCTGCTTTTATTCGCATTTAAACAAAGTGTGTTTGTGCAAGACTATGGTTTATCTTAGCAAACCGTGGGAGGAGACAGAAATGAGAAGCATAGCTGTATTTCCTCCCCCTTCCTTTTCATATACAGACTAAAAATGTAAAGAGACAAGAATAACAAGATGGTTGGGGAAATCTCTGGCAGCAACAAAAGGTTTTGGTGTCAGTATAATACAGCAAGTAAACTCACTTGTACCTCTTCCCCACTTGACTTGCCCTTCCATCCTCTGAAGCACAAGGGTGGATACATGCTGCCAGTATTGCTTGTAAGGAACTGAGAATATGACCCTTGTCTTCATCTCCAAAAAGCATCTGATCTTCAGTCATGTTTTAACACGCCAAGCACAGCATTAATCAGTAGCTTTTGCCTTTTCAGCATGTTTAATGCAGGCTATGGTGTATAAGTGCAAACTGACAGTGTTTTTTCTTTCTGAAGTACCATTCTGCCAGACACTAGCAGAAAAAGTCGCCAGAAAACAAGGACAGTTGCAAAAACTACAAACCCGGTATTCAACCACACCATGGTGTATGATGGCTTTAGACCAGAAGATTTGAAAGAAGCCTGCGTAGAACTCACAGTCTGGGACCACAACAAACTGGCGAACCACTTTCTGGGAGGTCTCCGGATAGGCCTTGGAACAGGTACTGGACAATTACCACATTAATACTTAATTTATTAAATAGTCTTTCCTGTTTTTTTTTCCTTATTTCCTTTCCATTTCTTCTTGTTTTGAGAAGATCACTGAATAACCTTTCAGTTATCTATTTGCTGAAGGGTTCCATTCAGAAGCTTACCTATTCTTCAGTGCAGGTCCTGAAATGTTAATAATAGTAGTGTTAGCACGACTGACAACTAAGGCAAAATATTAGAAATAAACCTTTGTCTGGGCATACATTGTATCTGGTATTGTTTTGATTACAAGAATATGCTATTCCTGCACCCAAAATCGTGATAACATCTTACAAACTTATGCGTGCAAAAACTAGGTGTGTGGTGTAAAGACAGCATGGGGTGGAAATAAAAGGATAGATGAGGAATGCATGATAAGATTTGAAAATCTTGAATAGGAAAAATTATAAATGCAAATAAGTTTTTAGCATAAGGGGAATATAAGACATCCAGATACAACAACAGTAAAAACATACTGTTCTTCTATTTGTCCCTTTCATTCTGCTGTCTGGTCTGAAGGGAAGATGGTTTTGGAGTTTTCTCAAAAAATACAATGTAAAAATTACCTTTCATAAATTAACTTCTTGCATAGTTCACCAGAATAACCTAAATTACAAATTAGAATAGTAAATCTCAATTTGAATTTTAGAATACTCGAGGTTCCATTTCAGTACAAAAATCAGTATCTTGTTTTGTTATTAAATCTTCTCAGATGTATGGGAAATTAACATCTTTCTCCTTGAGACTGTGACAAAAAATTAAGGATAACAAGGAAAAAGTCTGGAGAAAGATGACAAAGTCTCTGTGTGAAACTGTCACTAATTGTATTTGATAGAAGTGTTCAAGAGCAAAAACGCAGGACTGGATCTCCAAAGCACTAGGTCAGCTACCTCAGGAGGTGTAATCATTTTAGAGCAGGCAGATTTGATTGTCTGCTCTCAACCCTGCAGCATATTAAGTAATGTTTCTCTTAAAACTGACATTTTTCTAGGCAAAAGCTATGGAACTAGAGTAGACTGGATGGATTCCACTTCAGATGAAACTGCCCTTTGGGAGAAGATGATGAACTCTCCAAACACCTGGATAGAAGATACACTACCTCTCAGGATGCTTATGGTTGCAAAATTGACAAAATAAGGTGGCTTTTTAATTGCTAGTGTCAAAAGGAAACCTTGGGAATGAAATGGAAGGTGTGGGGGATAAAACTCGGAGGAGGAACACAGTAGCAGTTTTGACAGTTTTTGCTCTGTTGCCGTTCTGGTTTTGTGATGTCATATGTCACTTCATATTTCAAATTAAACATTTGCCCACAGAACATTATGTAAATTTGTAGTTGTACATTTCTAGGATGTGTAAGTTGCTTCTCCAGTGAAAGAAGCACGACATGAAGTGGTACTGTTGATGTCCCATTCTACAATGCGCAGAGGACTAAGTTCCAGTGTACTGTAAAAAATCACAGTTATAAAAAGTTTGCGCTATATATATGTGTTAATCATCTTGCTAGTCTGCAATACTTACTCTTAAATACTGAAGACATAAAGATGATTTTGTTTTCCAGTGCTACTCATAAAAATCTAACTGTGCCAATTTTAGTGATGACAAGTATGTTGAGTATTTATTCTTCAAAGTGTGCTTGTTTGTACCTGTATCTATTAGCTTGGTTTTTCACAAGAAGTAACTTACCTGTGCTTCAGTGCCACCATTAGGGGACTGGTGGGACTATGGTGGTCTTGGCTTAAATAGTTTTGCAGCATAAGAAATAAGACTGGAATTTGTAACTTGTAGAAATGCATTGTACTAATAAATAAATGCATGAAGTACTAGATGTATTAGTTTTTAAAATAAAAAGCAGCCTATTAAGACTAAATAGGAATTCAATGTTTATTAAACCCCAGGGGTTTATGTTAACCATTCAGCTTGCAATACAACAAAATGCAGAGAGAAAATATTTTTGAAAATAAATGCACATTTATTTGTTCCAACTGTGCATGTCTAAAAGCCAGTGAAATCTTGCAACTTCAGTTAGACGGGAGAAGGGAGCTCTTCACAGTTCCAACTCAATTGCTTGATTTAACTTTAGAAATTTAAATGCTACTTGGAATTTATTATACATCATGAATGGGAAAAAGGGAAGGTTTTATTCAACCTGCTGGGGAACCCACTTTCACTCTCATGAACCAGGCAGCCTGTGGAGTTCACAAATGCCAAAAGTAGTTGCAAGTCTTTCATATCTTACTGCTTCGGGTGTTTTGTATGATTGGTAGCTGCCACAGCTTCCACTTTACCAGACAAATACACTTCTTATGTGACCAGGGAACATGTGCATATGACACTTCAGAACAAAGTATTTGTACTGAAATGGTAACAGCAGTTGGTTTGATTCTATATTCTTAAAGAGACACTCCTGAAAGGGTGGTGATTCTAGAAAAGAGGCACCTAAGTTATTTGTATTCACTGCCTATATGAATTAATTTTTCACCTGAAAACATATGTTGCTTTTAACATGACCTACAGTTTCACAGGATTAAAAGCCGAGATTGAGGACTTCTCCAAGCTTGTGGAAGTTCTCTTTCCTTTTCCAAATTTGTGTGGTTTTGAGAGTATCAGCAATGTTTGTTTGCTAAGAAACACTGCCAGCTCTTTCAGCCACCCTGGTGGGGCTGGCCCAGCTCCAACCAGCCCATATGAGGTCATGAGCTCTGGGGTGACTGAATCCAGCGTCTTGCCTCCATGGAGACAGAACCTCACAGCAGGAGTGATAACAAACAGACAGGGGAAAGAAAATACCTGGTAAGAAAATAGTTTTCTCTTCTTCAACCCTGCTCTTTATTGTATTTCCACTGGGTGGCCTAAACCTCTCAGTCCTTCTCCCCTTTCTCCATTATTTTGAAATGTTTTGGCAGGATCCAAGGTAGCAACAGCAGTGGGAGAGTACGGGATAGTGGAGACAGAACTGGTGTCCGTACTGATGGTCACTACTACACAGCTCTGAAACTCTACCTGCTTCACAGGTGTTAATCCATTTTTGCTGTACATTATTTTTCATCCTTGCTTTAAACTGGTGTCTTCTCACATCCTATCTTTATCTCCAGTCAAAGCCCAGGAATTCACAAAACCTGATTATCAGCATGCTGTTTCATGTGCTGTGTAGTTTCAGGTCTGCGTCCACACGAAAAACTTGTACATGAGTTTTAGGCTAATTTTTCAAATGTCTGGGTAGCATACTGTGTGATTTGGCACCAATAATCATTTGGGTGCCTATGTAATACAAATATTTCCCTTATTTAGAAGAAACAGCCTTTTAAAATTATATGCCTTAAATAATTCAGCAAATCAGTGTCAAAACTCAAATGAGGAACTGCTTCTCCAGTCACAAAGTCTTTGTATCACAGGGCATTCAGTAATCATTAGCATTCTATAGATCTCTTATTCATAAATCTTTAAGCGTGAGATAAGACTATTCAGTTATTTTTAATGAGTAATATACTATTAAAATCTCACAAATTAATTAGAAGTCTGATGTAACCCTCTCTTTATTTGCAGTTATAATACAGAGTCTGTAGGAGAAAATAAAGGCAAAGGAGAAGGATTGCTTAAGGAATTATTTACAGATTTATCACTTACAAGCTTTTTACCTAAATATGATAGTAGTTCTTGTGGCTATAGCAGCAGGACTTTGAGAAGGAATAATTAGCAAAGCTAAATGAGCAAATGAATAGGCTTGCATAAATACTAAGCCTATATTCTTGCTTTTGCTCATGGAGTCTGTAAACCTTCTTCTCAGTCTGCCCGACTCTGAACCAAAGGATGTGGGGAGGGCTATAGGGCTGTATGGTTTCAGGCTGACATTGGTTTTGGGAGGTCTTGGCCCCCCATATCAGTTTCTCTGGACTTCCAGAGAAACTCCACCAGCTTATAGTACTGGTGTTGGCCACACAACCACTGGGTAATGTTTAATCATACTGAGTGTCACTAAGAGAAGCAGCCACTATAACATTTTTTCTTGTCTTTGTGTGAGACAGGGGCTCCATGGCTCAGGATGAGAGAGGAGCAGGGATGGCCAACTCTACAGGTGATCTAGAGACAGGCAAAGACATGGATGATCTGACAAAAGGCCTGGAAGAACTCCGTGATATCTCTAAGGAGAGGAGGGAGAAAGCACTGCTGCTTTTACATCTAGAAGAACAGCATCATCTTATGTCTATGCCGACAAAGAAAGCAGATGACACACAAAAATGCTGCAGAGCCCTGGAGCAGCTCAACATGGAGCTGGAGAAACTAAGGAAAGAGGCTGCTCTGAAAATTAAAACTCAGACCCTGCAGATTGAGCATTTGGAGGGGCGCTTCATGGATCTGGCCAACAACCATGAAAAGATGATCCAGTTCAAGAATGAACACAGGAAACAGCACATGCAGCTGTGGGAGGAGAACAAGCACCTTCGGCAGGAGAAGGAAGTGCTCTTCAGCCAGGCTGTGAGGGAGAAGGAAGGTGAAGCGCTCCGGCTGGCTGCCCAGGCCAGGAAGCTCTCACAGCAGTTATTCTCCCTGTAGGAGAAACATGCTTATGAGAGTTGCAGAGCCCAGGAGAGAGAAAAGGAGCTGCTAGAAGCTCAGAGCCACCAAGCAGGTGCCTACACCCGGGAAGTGGATTCACTGAAGAAGCAGCTGCAACTCCTACAGGAGAGGCACCAACAAGCTGTTGCAAGGGCAGAGCAGGCAGAAAGTCAGCAGAGGGCTCAGAGCACTGAACTGTGGGCTGAGCTGGAGAGGGCACACAAGGATAAAGAGCAGCTACTGAACCTGGCCATGGAGAAGGGGCAAAGCTCTGCAAGATAAGGAACGGGAGATTCAGCAGCTGGGGGAGAAGCTGGAGGTTGCGGAAGAAGCCATGCTGAGAGCAGGAAGGTGCTATGAGAAAGAGGCAGCAGCAGTGGACAAAGATCTGAAGGTCCAACAGCTCCAAGGACAGCTGGAAAGCAGCAAGCAGGCGTACAATGAGCTCTCTCTGCGGTTCGATGCTTGCAGAAAGCACAGTATGGACTTACTGACTAAAGAAAGAACACTGAATGTCAAACTACATCACTTTGTTGCATAACTGCATCGCTTTCCACTGTTCTCTCCTTGGCAGGTGCCTCTGTGGCAACACATCACTGCATTTTGTTCCTTTCCGTGGGGCCATCTTCTGGATTGTTTGTAATATCCTCACCAGTTTAAACCTCCCTACAAGGACTGGTTTTTGTCATTACACTTTTACCTAAGTAAATCTCTACACTGTTAAATCTGAACGGGTATTCATTAGTGTGGAAAACGTAAAATAGGAATTTTATCAGTTTGCTCCTAATCTCTGCTGAAACATAGGTTTTCTTTCTTTTTATTTTTTTTCTTTTTTACAGTTAAAAGCACTTTATTTTTCGAGATGGCCAAAAGCTCAAACCCTTAGCCTTTTGTCCTTGATTCTTCCTTGAAGTTCAACAGAGGTTGGGCATGTAAGAGGCAACACTGAAGCTCCAAGAAAGAAATCCCACCTTGCAATGTCTCCATCATAAACAGTCATAATTCAGGAACTTAACAGGTTAAATACAAGAACAAGTAATACACAACAACTGATGGCCAAGCAAATTACCATGTATAGTTTTCTAGTAGTTCTACTGCAGTTTTCTAGTAGTTTTCTGCAGTTGTTTTAATCTTGTTTAATGCAATAGCATTATTTATATGCCCATTCAGCTCAAAATAAATTGTCAAGTCTTTTGGGTGATTTCAATAATCTTTGAAACAGATTGAGGTTCTGGATGTTCTGCCAGGATTTTTTTTTGTGGTTTTAGGTGCTTTCTGTAGAAAAATAGTGACACACTCTTTCATTTTGTGTATGTCTGGCAGTTTTTGCAAAAAAAAAATTCTTTCCTGTCAGCATTCTGGGATACTGAGACCTCCCACTCTCTCTTGCTTGTCTCCTAGGCAAGGAGGTAGTTTTTAGCTGCTGAGGTTCATCTACTGCTCTTTCAGCCTCCAACAAAAAGAAAAAGCACAACAACAAAACCAAACAAAAACCAACAAAACATAATGGGCCAATCCCCCACCAGGGCTGTAGGCAGCTGCCTCTGGAGTTCCCCAAGTTCTTTGCCACATGCATATACCTTGAGATAACTCAAGGATTTAGATAATGGCTTGAGTATCTCTTAGTCCTGAACATCTACAAAGCCACAGCATCACATCAAACTTGGTATCTATTGATCTTGTGTACAGAAGTGATCAGAAACAGCAGGTCTGGAGATCTTCCAGCCTGTGACCTGTTCATCTCAAGGCCTTACTGAACCAGATGTATTCTCTAGCTCTGGCACAGGTTTCCCAAAGAAGCTGTGGGTGCCCTATCCCTGGAAGTGTTCAAGGACAGGTTGCATGGGGTTTTAAACAACTTGATCTAGTGGAAGGTGTTCTGGCCCAGGGCAGGGGGTGTGGAACTAGATGGTCCCTTCCAACCCAAACCGTTCTGTGATTCTGACTCTACCTAAGTTGTAGTTTCCAGCAGACTTGTCTTCTGAACTTCCCTGCATTCTCCTTGAATATTTCTCACTGCCTGCTGCATGACAAACCACAGCATTTCTTTTGATCCTGGCTCCTACAAGTGTCATTCCACACGTTTTATGGACTACATCCTCCTACTTTTTAACCATACTTCCCCCTTCTGTGCCCACCCCACGTGCACATTTAATTTTAATGCCGGCATCTAGAGTGTAAATGCCAACTGATCGAGGCTACACACTAGACTCATGGTCTGAGGAAGGGACACAGCAGGGCTAGAGCTGGCTGCTCTGTTTGAAACAGTTGGTAGGCAGGGAAGAGTGACTGTATCACCGCGGTCACTGCAAAAGAGTCTGGGACCAGATGCCTAAATACTCTAAATCTGGGCAGAGGACACCCACTCACTGTGTGACAGAACAGTCCCACAGGCCTCTGTGCATGGTGGTGGGAAAGCCCCCAAATCCTGCAGTCCCCAGGGACATGCCCCCTCCCTTTCCTTGG